AAGAGAGGGTGGAACTATAAAGTGACCCACCCTGTATAATATATATTATAATAAAACAATTTAAAGAATATATACTGAGAGTTTTAGACTAAGTTAATTTTTTTTATTTTCAAAAATTTAAATATAGGTGTCACCACTTTAAATAGCTCTAACTCCCTTATGAAACATATTTGGATCAAGGTAATTTAAGTTATATCGGCATAAAATCAAGTCTAATTGAGGTTTTCGTTTGGCAGGCGAGTTCTGAGACACCCTTGTATAACAATCAATTTCTTTTTTCCGACGCTACGTTTCCGAGTCCGATCTGCAGTTCAAGCCTAATTTGAAATACATGTACACATATTATTTATTCTCAAATTTAAGTATTAGGAATATTCCCTGGTTTATTAACCTTAATCTGTGTCTAAAAACGAATTAAACCGCACTGGAATTTACCATATGGCATTTCGTTCCGACGTGGAATTAAATTAAACTTACCTCGAATTGCAAAACTAAAAAAAATAAAAAGCACTCTGCATTTGTCAATCAAATAAGTACCTTTTTCTGACGAAATTAAAAAAAAATCTTAAAATTAAAATAGCAATTAAAAACAATCTTAAAAATAAAAATGTTGCCATTAAATAACAGTCAATATTGCTCCTCAAGCAAAATCAAAATGCATTCGCAACATTGTCAATAACAGACCCACTAAGCAGTTATTGGCAATGAACTAAACTGGGGACAAGAACGTATTTAAATTAAATAAATCATTTCTAACTAATCTACCTCGATATGGCAGTGATGTACGCCCATTTTAAAGTCGATTTTGAAAACTCAATAATGACTTCTTTTTAACAGGTATTTTAAAAACTAATGTTTGTTCATTTCCAGGAGAGTTCAAATATTAATCAGTTTTGATGTGTACATGTATTTCAAAATACTTGCCTATTTTCCAAATGTCAAATATAATTGGATCCCATACCCCTCAAGCCGATCCTTTATACCCTATTTAAATATATACTGAAATTCGTCAAAATTAATAGGTAGTAAAAAATATCAAAAATGTGTAACAGAGTTGACATATATTGAAAGAATTCCTTGTTTAAAATACATATTTGTTACTTGACACTATATCATACTTAATATCATTTGTCTCTAAAGTAAATTACATACTTTGTGGTAGGGTATTTAAATCTTTTTTTCAACTTTTAATGCGTTGCCATATGTATTATCTTTTTAATTTTTTTTAACAAGCAATTATATGTAACAGAATGTGGTGGCGCTTCGTCTCTAATACAAATCAATGAAGGTGACGGTATACGGCGTGAGGGGTTTCCACTTAAAATCCTCGAAATCGCTACAAATTCCTCAAAACTCCGAAATCATCAACCAACTGACTTAAGAAATCAATTTTTCGCGCCGAAATATAAACGCGGCTTGTGGTGGATCAAAAAACAAGTGAAAAACAAAAAAAAAAGTACAAAAAAAAAGAGAAGAGAAAAAAGGTTGAACAAAAAATAAGTGAAAAGCAAAAGAAGGTGTTTTGAATATTCCTCAAGAAAATTTATATTGTCTACAGTAAAACTTCGAGATGGTACAACAAAAATATTCACTCATTGGAACCATGGGTGATTTCAGTGATATCCTAAAAATGTATGGAATATTTTTGGTGATTATCAAAATACAGGTACATTTTGAGCTTAATGGTTTACCCTTCGGTATACGGTAACGGGTAGATCGCGGTATTCTTTTTTTTACTTGTTTAAAAATGAATCGGAAGTTATCCAGCTGTAGCAACACCTACGCTAAACTAAATTATTTTTTGGAAGCGGAATATAACTCAAAAAAAAACACGTATACGATGGTAATCGAAAACATTTTCCAGGTTTATACAGTAGATGAGGCGGAAATATTCGATGGTAAATTAACGAAAATTGCACACAGAACAGTTTATTGAGCGTTCAAAAAGAGTATCGAAGATAAAAAAAGAAAAATAAATAATTTTAGAAGTTTTGGTTTCAAATATTACAATCTGACTCAACTTGCTTCAAAGATATATTAAATAATAAAACAAGCTACGTCAAACGTGAAACTTTTTTGGTAATAATTTTCAATTTCTTTTGCCCTATGAGGGGTAACAATTTTATAATGTAATGTGAGTTCTATGGAATGACCTGTTAAATCACTTTATAATTTAATATTTTATTTGATAATAAAAGTGATGCTTAAGCATGTGGAGTGTCCCTACGACGAGAAAAAATAAGTTGCCCGGTCCGGATATTGATCTTCTTCTCATTTATTTTTATTTCAGCTCAAGCCGAATTATTTACTCAGTACCATTTATTACTGAAATTTTACCACCTTACATTTTTTCTGAATAATTTTAAACAGGTTCCCAAAAAAAAAAAAAACAAAGTTAAAAAGCTTTATGTAGAAAAGAAAGTAAAACAGTTCATAAGAAAGTAGAACTATTAAACTTATACTGTATTCATTGTTAATTAGATATGTGTATATTTCATCAAAACAAAGTGAGGAAATTATTATTTTACGTTTCTATAGTGTATAAAATAAAAATAATTCAATAAAATTGGAAATGTGGGAATGGATATTGAAAAAAGTTAGTATTATAGCAGGGGCAGAAGTTGGAAAGGCTTTTGCCAGTTCTCCCACTTTATACACATAAATTGAAAGGTTTGCGGCGGATTTAACCGAAGTGGACGCGATACATTGGCGTACAAGATTATTTTATAGATGATAATAACAATTTCGAGTATATAGTTTAATAAATTGTGAATAGCTGATGAAATTTTGTAAAATTATGATTTTGAATAGTTTAATAATTATTTATAGTCCATAAATACATGCGATTGTCCGGTTCCACCAGTAAAAATTTAAAATTACTTATTCTATGAAACGACACTGCGAAATTCTCGAAGCCGTCCGACGTGGTTTGACATTTACCCCCTCTCTACTAACCAAAAGCCTTTCCAACTTCTACTTGTGCTATAATACATATATTTTTTTTTTAAATTAAAACTTAAAATTCTTTTTTTAGGTTCCGTCCCCAGATTGGACGGCGTTTTTCAGTGGGTTTTATTTTTTAAATATCAAGAATATATAAATATTATTTTTTTATATAAAAGAACAAGTTTTTATACATAACTATTTTTTTTATTATTTATGTAACCATGTTTGAAAGCTTTCGAATTTTTTTATTATTATATTATTGAATATAAGGTAGGTTGAATAATATATAATAATTAAAAACTCGAAGCTATCAAACATGGAACATCCAAATATGGGTATTTAAATAAGAAACAAAAATTTAGTTATGTGTAAAAATATATAATTATTAATTATTTTATATACCCAATTAAGTCTGAACCATACGGGATTTTTTTTATTCTTAGTTTTATGAAAAGAAGTCATTCTTTATAAAAAGTTCTGCATGGTCTAAAACTTTAAACATTATCAATTTTTTTTAAGCCGTATACGAGGTTTGTCAAAACATATAATTTTTGCAGAATAAAGTACCTTTATTTTTGACTGATAAAATTTGATATCCGATGGTTGTATTTTAGGTTTTAGACTAGACCATACTCCACTTTTTATGAACAATAATTTTTTTCCTAATATTAATAATAAAAAAGTTTTTCATATGCCGCCAACTTAGGGAGACTCTGAAAGTGATGTCCTTTAATTTTATTTGTTAGTAGTTTTTGATATAAGCTTTCGTTGTTTCATTTTTGTGTTATTATTTTTTAGTTTAATTTATTTATATATTTATTTTAAAACGTACTTTATTTTTATGTTTTAGAAAAATATTTAAAGTCGATTTATTCAATATTTTTTTATTTTATGTGGCTTTGAATTTTGTTTTTAAACAATTATTTTCTACCTATTTTTCAACTGTCAAATAATGAATAAATAATAAACCAACTGGCAAAACTGTATTAACCTGTAATTATTCATGTTTATTTAAATTTTCATGTTGAAATTGTAGGTACAATAATTATATTTTTATATTGTAGCAAATTAAACAATATTATTATTATTTTTTTTTTTTTTTAGTGTCATCGGCTTCAACTGCTAAGGTTATTTCGCCTCGTGTTCTGTGTAGGCTTTGTTACTGTTTCCCAGCGCCACTTTAGGAACAGCACTATTAATTAGAACCCAACAGTGAATATTATTATTATTATTATTCGTATTCTTTTGGTTCGGCATCAACTACTAAGGTTATTAGACTCGTGTTTTGTGTAGGCTTCGTTACTGTTTCCCAGCGCCATTTTGGGAATAGCACTTTTAATTAGAACCAAATAGTGAATGGTCGAGTGGGGAATCCTACCAAGGCATCAGAATTAATTTTAAATAATTAAATTAAATAAAAAAATCCCTGCCAACGATGGGATTCGAACCGGGACCCTTGGATCCGCAGACAGAGACTCTACCACTGAGCTTATTCGTTTGTCGAATAAAATTAATCTAAGAATCCAATTAATAGATTACTAATGGATTAGTTGATTATTCTGCCCACCCCTAGTCAACATATTCCATTACACATTCCTGACAATTTTTACTACCTATAACTATAAAAGTATTTTATTCAAATAGAGTATTTCCTGTCAACTGTATGAAAGCGTATATGGTGTTCCTTATTCCGGAGGAGGCGGCGGCAATTGAGGCGGCGCGTCCATCGGTAGAGGCGGCACGGAATTACCGCCGCGCATCACCGGCGGCGTCGGTTGCATGGGGGGCGGATGAGCGAACATGCCGCCTTGATACATGTACCCTTGACCATAATAAGGATTCTGGAACATGAACGACGGAGGGGGAAAATGCATGTTAGGCATCGAATGTGGAGGGGGCGGCATTTGATGATTGTAATAGTACATTTGAGGCGGCGGTGGTGGTGGAGGAGGAGGCGGGGGAGTAGAATACATTCGGTAGTTAGTAGAATCGGGGTTAGGCAGCGCAAAATTATGCGTGGCCTGGCTAAAATTGACATTGACAGCAGCGCTTACCTTATGACTATTGGAGTATTTCCCGTTGGTTTTGGACTCTTTAATACTGGACTTGTGCATCTTGCTGGGCGGGCCTTCCGAAGGGGAGCTTCTCTCCCTGTCCCGCTTCTTGCCGACACCACTGTCCAGATTGACACAATTGTTGAACATCTCCTTGGGGATCTTCAATTTGATCCCTACAGGCGGATGCAGTTGTTGTTGTGCGCTGCTTTGGGACAACTCCGAAATATTATCGATCTTGTTCTTGGGGATCTTGATTTTGAGTCCTTGACTTTGGAGTGGTTGGCTACTTTCCACATGAATAATCTTATCTTTAGGTATAATAATTTTGAGGGATTCTACAGGGGGAGGAGGAACGTCTACTGCAGTCTTATCTTTGTGTTTGTGTTTTTCACGGTCCTTGTCTTTGTGTTTCTTTTTCTTCTCCTTGTCCTCCCGGTTTTTGTCTTTGTGTTTGTGCTTGTCTTTATTCTTCTTTTTGCTTTTGTGGTGGTAGTGGTTAAGGCTTTTGTCGGTTTGGTCTTGTGAGGGGACAGGTTCAGGGGCCAGGGTGGCGCCCAAATGGGATATCGTAGAAGCTTCTTTTAGTAAGTTGCTGATTACTATTGGATCCGTACTTTCCAAACCGTTTATAGTGGAAGACCTGGAAACGTGAATTGTTTTATATATTTTTTAGTGTAATAGATATGATTATATCATTATTTTATTTTTGTATTATTTGATTAGTATCTTTTGTACTGTCAGTAAATTTATTTTAATTATTATGCAACTTAATTAAATTTCCTACTTTAGGATTTCCTTGGACAATTTTTATGAGATTCTTATAAACTGACATTAGAAAAAAATGTATTGGGGTATTCCCAAAGGGCTATCGGCCACAGTCTTTTGGTCTGTATTAACAATAATAGTTACACAATTAGTTAAAGGCTATTATTTTTTTTTGTGTCATCGGCATCGACTGCTACGGCCATTACCCTCGTGTTCTGTGTAGGCTTTGTTACTGTTTCCCAGCGCCACTTTAGGAACAGCACTGTTAATTAGAACCCAACAGTGAATGGTCAAGTGGGGAATCCTACCAATGCATCAGAATTAATTTTAAATAAGGCAGAGACTCTACCACTGAGCCACCCACCCCTATTATTATTATTAATATTATTATTATTATTTGTATGTATATAAAAAACATAATAAATAAGTTAGAGTACCATTCAAGTTTATTATTTGGTCCCACGGTAGTTATCAGAGTCCTTCCTTTTTTGCCTAAATGAATACGATTATCCACATTTTTTAATAATTACTGAAAATTCGCTAGAATATGATGAATCTTTTTATCCGTGCACTATAGTTTCAAAATTCTGTCAAACAACCAAAGGTTGTGGTTAAACAATGATTTTAATTAAAAATAGTGTTATTCATGACTTTGTAAATGAAATAACTTTGACGAGTTATGAACTGGGAATGAATTTGAAGTATCAATAATTTTTAGTAAGATTAACAATTATCTCAAAGTCTGTTAATCACAGGATCTTTATAGATTTAGAAAATAATAAAGCTTGCAAGTGCTTTTGTCCTTATAAGGTCATCTTCAGGCAAATTAATGTTTTGAGTACAATCTGTAATAATTTAATATTAGATATCTACATATAAAATCAGCTAGATGTCTTACCACTATATAAAATTCATGGACTTTTGATCAACAAAAATTATTTACATAAAAAAGGGGTGAAATGTAAAATTATTAGCACAATTGTAAAGGTTGATATTATCCAACAATATGATCTAATAGACTTCAATGTAGCTGGGTCTTAACAGAATAAAGTAAAAATGTATAAACACATCCTTAGTGCTCTGTACATCCGTTTGACACCAGCAATCGACACTTACACAGCGATTAAACTATTTGTTGTTATACAGTAGCAATTCAAGAAGGAGAGCGAATATGATTCGTGCAATATTAAGTTAGAGTATGTATTGTACATGCTACGAACGTCAAAGGTCAAAATGGTGTATGGTCACAGGTAAGACGTAAATTTATTTTCTCTTCTTGAGTAGATTATTTCATTCTTATTCAATCATTTCAGTAATTAATAAAATGTTACTTATGTGCTTATTATATAAATCTACTTTCATGCATTAATTTAAATCAGATTGATCTAACAACTCATTTTTTATGTAGTTTTTTTATAACATACATTTTCGGAATAACTACTGGTATTTTAATTATTTAGTTAACAACAATAGGAGTTACTGCCTAGGCTACCACACTATTCTTTCCTTTTTTGTATTGCTTCGCATATCTGGAAATAGAGATGGCAATTTTTTTACTTGTTTAAATTCTTTTTTGTATGCTCGAGGTAGCAAAAGATAATTCGTTAAGAATGAATTTGGTTTTTCATGGTCAAAGATTAAACAACATTTTGTCCAATAAATATTACAATAAATTTTTGAACATTTTGTTGAGGATGTTATTTCATTATTGTAACTGATTTAAATAGTTACTGATAATGTTTAATTTTAATTATAGAATCATTAAAATATCAATTAGTTTTTGAACTGGTTTTAATGTCATTTCATATAGATCTCTAATCCTAGGATCCCAAAAGATATACTCTTGAATCACTATTTAAATTTCTGAGGTTTACTATCACTGAAGAGCCCTAGTCACATCATAATTCTAAACGAAAAAACTTAGTCCATCTTAAAGTAGACTGTAGCTTCAGGAGGTCCGAATCTAAAACTAGAGTGGGTCTTCAGCAACCACCCAACTTTTGCACCATATTAGAACAATCAAGCAGTCAGGTAGGTACTCAGCAACCACTCAAATTCTGCATCCTGAGAACTATTGATACATTCTGATTAGTCCTGACCTCCAGAGAAAAATTCTGCTTTGTAGGAACCTTTTGTAGCCAGGAAACATACAAATTCTATACGAATTATATCTAAATTATACTTGTTTCTAAAATAATGTTTTTGGAAGAAATTTTCTTGTTTGATATAGTTTTACTTATTTTTCTTTTCTTTTTCCAAGGGAATCGAAAATACCCTGTTTAAAAATCAAAATTTCTTTTTTTTTAACAAATTCCTTTGAAATTTGATCTAGTGAGTTGAAAATAATTTCTAGCCTATAGGAAATTTAGGTTTTAGTTATGTTAGAAAATTATATTTTGGTTTCAAACGTGGGCGAGTTTATTGAAAACATTTAAATTAAAATTTTATACTCAATTTCTTTTTAATTTGTAGTGAAATTTGATTAAATTGCAAATTTGTCTTACATTTTAGGTCGATAAATCAAAATTACTGAATTATTTTATAAATTGTGGAAATTGTTTTGAGTTTCTAAATACCATAACTATACATATACAATTATTTTCTTAAGAAAAACTTACCTATTATTGTTTGTATTACTGCTACTACTGGCCTTAATATCCCCATTACTATTCACAGCCTCCTGTTTGACCTCCCTAGGACTGACCGTTTCGGTTTTAAGTTCCTTTGGAGTGATCGGTTCGCTCTTGACCGAAGTAGGACTGAAGATTTCCGTTTTAACCTTCCCCACGACATCAGGCGACTGATCAATTTTCGTTATACCTATCGTACTATCCCTTATCACATTCTCGAACCCCTCCACCTGATCGATCTTCTTCATGACCGGCCTCAGTTCCGGTTCGGAGCTACTAGAATAGTTCCTCTCCCGCTTCGTCTCGATTGGAGATATTAAAGGCGATAACAGACCAATGTCTGGAGTGTTGGGCATAGAATGTTTATGAGGCGGCGACTTTTCCGGACTAAACAAACTAGGTCTTTTAATCACAGGCGGTATCTGCACTTCCTCTTTCACGGTTACCGGTTCCGGTTTCACTTTAACGTCACTGTTCGCGGGCGGGGCGTAACTGTTCGAGTGGGTCCCTTTGACGGGCGCCACGGCGGGAGAAACTGTTTGTTTCGGGACGGATTTCAACATGTCGTGATGGTTGGACGTCGGTTTAGGATGGCCGCCGTTTTTATCATGCGTACCGGCGTTCAAATGTTTTTTAATGTTTTCTAAGTGAGATTTAGATTCGTCGCGATTAGATGGTGGCGCAGTCGCGGTTTTGGTAGGATCGATCCTGGGTCGGCCGTTCGGATCCAGTCTAGGTTTTTCGTATTTCAACTTATCATTGTAACTCATCCTATGATCGTAATTAGCACTGTTTCCTTCGTTTTGATTTGTTTGATTGTTTTTCATGAGATAATCGCGTTTATTTAATTCCTTTTCGGAACGAGCCAGATGCGGATCCTTCGGGTACTCCCGGGTAGCATCTCTGGCCAACCCAAACGGCGAATCTCTGGTGGCAGCTTCTCTGAGAATGTCTTTTGGTTGGGGGTAGGCCATGGGCGGTGGTCTAGAGGGCGGTTTCATCTTGGAATCGATCGGCGGCCGATGATGGCCGCCGTGCGACGAAGATTTAATTTGACCACTATTACTGCTGCCTAAGGTACCGCTTCCAGAGCTGCCCATGATGGATTTTTGCTGGTGCGATAGTCTTTCGCGATTACTGCGCTCCCGTTCTTTGTCCCGTTGGTGTTGACCGCTCATTTCGTGTGGACGAGACGAACGGTGCTTGTGAGGATCGTCCATACCTAAAGAACCGCATGATAAGCAATGCAGAAGGATACAATTACGCAAAAGGGATTAAGAAGCTCTAAATACCTTATAATCATTTAATAAACGTAATTATATAAAAAAATCAACAAACCAGATGAAGATCGATGTGAATGACCATCCTTGTCGTCCTTGCTAACGATCTTCTTCGGATCAGTATCCTAAAAAAAAAAATTGCATCCTACAACTAACCAATAAAAATTTACATAAAATACTTACGAATGGCGAGTTAATATGAAGATTAGGAATGTGATTCACGTTATCGGCTATCGCCATAATTTTCTCTTTCAACCTCGATGGGCATTTTTCGAATATCACCAGAAATTCCTCTGTCAATTGTTGCAAGAGTTCCGCCGTTACTGTCGGATCTACGTAAGAGTACCATTCTTTCTTTTCGTTGGACAAAGGAATCTCCCAATTGGACCACTTGCACGCCACCAAGATGCAAAAACACGCCACCACAGTCGGTTTGTATTGGATACACATCGTCGTTAAGTGCAGGCTAGAATAATTATGATAACAATTTTTTTTGTACAAAAAGGATTTAGACGAGAATATGGTGGATATAGGCGTGATTAGGGTGGGTATAGGCGTGATTAGAGTGGGTATAGGCGTAATTAGGGTGGGTATAGGCATGATTAGGGTGGATATAGGCGTGATTAATGTGGATATAGGCGTGATTAATGTGGATATAGGCGTGATTAATGTGGATATAGGCGTGATTAATGTGGATATAGCCGTGATTAAGGTAGATATAGGCGTGGCTAGAGTGGATATGGAGTAATTGGGGTGGATACAGGAATAATTAGGGTGGCTATAGGGCGTCATTAAGGAGGATATAGGCGTGATTAAGGTGAATATAGGCGTGATTAGGGTGAATATAGGCGTGATTCGGGTGAATAAAGGCATGATTAGGATGAATATAGGCACGATAGGGTGAATATAGGCATTATGACGGATATACTAATAAAACGTCTTTATTTATATATAGGCATTACGGTAAATATAGGCGCTATTATGGCGGATAAAGGCGCGATTATAGTGGATAAATTAAAGTAGATATAGGTGCAATTAAGGCGGATATAGGCCTGATTAGAGTGGATATAGAATAATTAGGGTGGATATATAGTAATTAAAGGGGATATAGAAGGTGGATATAGATAAATAGGATGGACAGAGGAATTAGGGTGGATAATTCCGCGACGTATATAGAAGTTATATAGGCGTTATTAGGACTAATATAGACCTAATTAGAGTGGACATATCCGTGATTAGGGTGGATATAGGTGTAATTAAAAGGTACATACACGTGATTAGTTTGTAGGCGTAATTAGTCTACAAATAGGTACTTTCTACTGTTTTTTCATGGTACGTAAAAGTTTGTCTTGAATTGTGGTTAGTCGCTATGAAAACGCATAAATGGGCGTGCATACTCTATATTTGGACGTGTGTACTCTATCTATATGGGCGTGCATAGTCTATATATGATCGTGGTTAGTATGTGAACGGTGCTAATTTGTAAATGGGTGCAATTAATGAATTTATGTGTTTAAGTGGGTATATTCACCAAAGTTTTTCTTTATGGCTTTTAAGAAAATTTCATATAGGATTACAAAGTTGATATCATAGATGAGTTTTAGTAATTGAAATTATGATCGAAAAATATATTGCTTACCTATTGCTGGCCATGAAATAAGACGTTTGAGCTAAATCTTTACTGGCCCTGACGAGATGACAACACCTAACTACATGGGTATGGGGATGATCGATGGCCACGTCAAACCCCAATGTTTGTAGTAAAACATTTTCATTGAAAACTAGATCCTGAGATTGACTTATGTACCTGGAAGTAAAAAAAGTAAAGTAACGAATTTTCATTTTACAAGACAACACATTTTTACCTTTCGGAAGTCACATCTATGTTTGTGTCCCTGACGTTCTTGCACATATTGGCCACCCTAATGACGTACTCTAATTTCCTAGGTTGCTCCTCGACTTTAGCGGCAAGGAATAGAGCCGCCGCGGCCATCTGGAGCCATGGAAAATGAGTAAACGAATGGAATACGTAAAAACGGTGCATGTATACTATAGCCGTGTTGATGCATAGTTGTGACCTGAAATATCTTGTTAAGGAAAATTTCAAGATAAAATAAATTGAGTTATTAAAAATGTTCTTATCGTAAACCCATTAATTTAGTTATGTTAATAATAAACACCTTATAGCAAAGTTGTTTTTAAAATAAAATACATTTTTTGAATTGAGAAGGTAAATAGTTCATAATTGAAAATATGCGACTGAAGTTTAATATTAATTTCCACATTTTTTTTTATGAGTAATGTTATTTTTCTAAATTTTAACAATATTTCTATTCCAAAACACACACCAAATGGAGACTACGTTTCTAATAACAGAGAAAGTAATTTGAAGTATTCCGGAACAAGTTATAGAAAGTTGATTAATCAGTATGGAACATTCAAGATGGGTATAGAATAAACAGCAGACATAACTAAAAATATTTTGTAAGCCAGATTAAAATACCATTAATATCCCAACAAGTTAGCTAAAGTATTGGTTAACTTATATTAAAGATTTTGATTGACTAATCTGACAATTTATAAAAATATTTATTTAGACTTAAAAATGCTGTAAACAAAGTCACTTAAAAATAAATGCAGAAAATTGCATGGTATAATTATTAAAAATACTGCAAAGTATTAATTATAGAAAAATATATAGTTCGAAAAATAGAATGTGAAGTCTTAATTTTTGTATTTCTTATATATTAGTGATTAAGATTTTATGACTTTTCGGTCTTGTGTACTACCAAATTTTGTGTTAATGCCACAAAAATCTTTTAAATTAAAAAAAAAAATAGCTCATCACTACCATTCCTTTGACATTTTTTGATTTTACAAAATTAAAAAACCTATTCATTTCACATATTTTTTTTGCATAAGTATTGAAAATGTTATACTGGTCCGACATTAAGGAAAACAATTTAAAATGTTTTTAAATGACTATCATTTAAGATTTCAGTCTAGAAACAGAAGTTACCAGGGAAGATAACTGGCCTTTTAACAATCATAAAATAAATTTACTTTTAATTAAGGTTTTTACTATTTTGAAAAATTCCAATTTTTTTTTAAATTTTCCCCTATCAATAATCACATTTTAACCACATATATAATTTAGGTGATTTTTTTTGTCAGATTCCTAATTTCATTCACATACAAATCAAATTATTTTTTACATATATTTTAAAATAGGGTGGTGGGTGTCTAAATGAAAATAAAACAAAAACAAAAATGAATAAATATCAAACTGATGATTCCAAACAACCTTTATTTAAAATTTTATCATATCTACACATACATATTTACAATTTGTACTAAGAACCATTTCATATAAAACAAAAATAGTTGAAGCAAATGAAGAACCTGTAAAAGTTTGAGATGAAATTAAAGAAAAATACCATGCAATTTATGTATTATTAGTTTGAGAAAAATTATTACAAAACTAAAAAATGAAGACCTTTTATTTACATTTAAATTTATTGTGTATTTCTGCACATTCATATCACCTAGGTCAATGCATAAATGATATAAAGATAAAGCTATCATTATGTACATATTAATGACGATTTACATCATATTATAGTGGGAGAACCAAATATTGTAAATGTGATACCAAAATGCAAGATCAGCATAGGTTTCCTATAGTTGCATAACAAATTTTTGAAAGCTGGTTGGAAACGTAGCATTCCTGATGGTTTTTAAGGGATCAAAACAATCCTGATAAGCTAAACATGAATTAAAAGTATTCTGGAACACTTTACATGGTTATGGGATAATCTGACAAGTTCCAAAGAGCAAACTTTATAGGTATTTAAAGTATCCTGAAACACTCCAGATGGTTATAGAAGAAACAGAAAGCTTCTAACATTCTATAAAGACGTTTAAAAGAAATATGGAACATTAGAGATGAGTATGGATGAAATATAAAAGTTGTAACAAAAAACTGTTTTTTTTTTTTAATAAATATTTTAAGATGTTAAAAAATGTATTGGTGTATTAATTTTAATACATTTTTTGTTGTTTTAAGTGAATTTTGATTAATATTCATAAATTTCTATTAAACAAAAACTATCATTGTTTAAAAATTATAGTGTGTTAAAAGAACTAAACCCATTCTTTAATTTTTTTTACATTTTCAGTTATTTAAGGGCATTTGGTAGAATATTTTGCAATCGAAAATTAATAAAACATGAAACTAAATTAATATTTACACATTATTTTTTTATCAACATCAGTTTTAACTATACTTAGTAAAAATCATTTTAATGTTTAGATTTAAAAATATATTTTATCAATGGCATTATCTGCATTTTGATAATAATCTTTCATTAGCAATCAAATTAATCATGTCCTCTAAAAACAAAGAGGTTAGATATTTAATATAACTCTTTACTCAAATAAAATACACTTCTAACTCCTATATTCTTTTTATTAAAAAAAGCAAGACAAAATTATTTTATTTTTCTGTAAATAAGGCATCATTCAGGTTTTGTATCATTGGATACAAAAAAAAATATGAAACATATTTTCAATTCTTAGAAATTCATATTACCAATGTTAAATATACTGACTCATGCCTAATATTTTTATTTTAAAAACAAATTTGAAGGTCATTGCGTTTTGTAGAATTGGGTTATTTTTAATATATTCATCTGAAAAACGATGTACTAGAAATATAAACTGATTAATAGAGAACCCCCTAAGTATTAGCCAAACCGTGCCAAATTGAAGGATACACTTTGAGCCTCTGGCCCATGTCCTGGATGAAATTGGCAGCTTGCTGTCGGTTGGAAAGTTCTTTGTGGGAATCGAAACCGCATTTTCTGGATGGAGTACCCTCTAATTGTTCTTTAGTAAAATACCACCGATCGCTTGGATTGGATAAGTTAGCCATTTACGACTGACAACGGTTTAATAACGCAGATGGCGTTACAAATTTGGAAGCTAAAGTCCATCAAAATAAACTATATCTGGCGTGATTCTACAGTAATAATCCACTAAAAATAATAGCACACTTAAATTTTAAATTAAAATCGATTGTAGAATATAAGGCGATCACTTATCACAAAAAGAAATGGAGGTTATTTGTTGCGTCACTACGATTTGGGACTTTCCAGTCTGTTGTCTGTGCAGTTATTTTCAGTTTTTGTAGAAACTCTTAACCGTATATTGAAAAATGTTACCTCGAACTAAAATGTATTAAATGTTGAAGCAATTAAGGTATTTTTTAATACGAATGAGTAAGTTTAGTTATTTAAATTCGTACATACACAAAGTCCCAAAAATTTATGATATCCACACCTTCGATGGCCGACCAACCATACTAGACAACAAACAAACTAAACGAAATATACCAAACCAAAACAACATATGCTTTTTCCATCAATTAGTCAAAATTTAATAAAATAATTACTCGTCTTATTAATAAAGTAAACATAATGTGAATGAACTGAATATAATAAAGGAATTCGTTAAAAAACACCTACGTTTAAACACTATTTTGACTAACTCGGTGGTACGTTCCAAATAGTTACTCTAGATCTGACTCTGTTGACGTTGACATTGCTGACAAACAATCAACGAACAAAGGTATGTTCTACTTTTACTCTAGAGCAAAGCAGTTGACATATGACATCGACATTATACCACAGATTTGGATAGAGGAGATAGGAAAAGGCCATTTTCCCCGGTGTTTCAAAATAATCACACCATGTAGGCCGCCATGCATTGCGTTCGGTTTGCCACGTTCCTTTAACACTTTTAACTCCAAACGACTCTTTTAGCGTTCGGTTTAGTCCGATTAGTGACAGTTTAACACGCTTAAATGTCATTTAAAAGCACCCTAAAATCTGTCCCGCTCCAGCCCCTGACTGACCGAACTCGCCTATGTTGGTAATTTAAGCGTACAACGCACATGCGCATTTGTTGTAGTGTTTTGACAGAAGTGTCATTTATGTCAACTAGTCTTGATTTTTTTTCGAAATTCGCTATTTTAGTTTTTACTATAGACAATTAATAAAATGGGAAAGACTTGCTTTGTTTTTGGTTGTTTAAACAACGAGGATTCAGAAAACTTTACATTCCACAAGTAAGACATCTTTTCTACCAGAACCGTATTCTTCACCACATTTTTTAGACTATATTTATTTTCATTTTCTAGAAAACGAAATATCATAGTACAATAACAAACTGTATGTAGGTATCTAACGTTGATATTGCTATAATTTTTTTTAGATTGAGGAAAAGGCGTATGCTTCTTGGTTAATAGCTATTGGAAGAAATCATTGGTAAATATAAGTGCAAATAACGCTATTTGTTCCTCCCATTTTCATAAAGATGATTTAATCGTTTCAAAACGAATAGATACAATAAAAAAATAATGCAATACCTTCCATAAATATGCCTAAAATTGAAGAGGGTAATGAGGTAAATATATATACATAAAATTATCAATTTTTTCTTTTTATAGTTTCTAAGAAAGCGATAAAAAATTGTTAATTATCCCTATTATTTTTAGAAATTTACAACCTTCAGCTTCAACGAATATTATTAATTCAGAATCTAAGGAGGAATTATAGAAGTTGCCAGTTGGTTATTTTTTATTAAGGGTTTAGATGGTAATGAAAGAAGAAAGGTGGCGTTATAGGCTCTTCTAAAATTGCATGAATATGGAGTTATCATCACCTAATTATCATTTGATGGACTTACAATGATAACATTAGGTGTAAACCTATACAATATTGACACTGCAACTCCAAATTTCTTGCATTCGCCATAGATAAAAGTATATTTTTTATAATTTTAGATGCATTTCACATACTTAAGTTGGTTTGGAATAACTGGGATAATCTTACTATAATTGTCGAAACTAATGGCGAAATTATTGATTTTAATTATATAAAATTTTGACATATTTAACAAACAGAAGTTTTACGTTTGGGTAGCAAATTAAGAGTGGCCCATATGGATTGGAGAAAGATGAAGGTTTGTACACTTAAACGAATTTAGAAATTACAAATACTAAATAACATTACTATTAATTGTATAAGGACATTTGAGAAACTGTTCGATTTACTAAATTCTCGAAATCTTTTTAGATTTCAATGGAAAATGCCTTTGTCTCAAAAAACAGAGACTATATGGATGTCTGGAATATAAGCTGCAATAGAATATATAAAGAAACTTAAAACCTTTGACAGCAGTTATGTTATTCAGTGACCGAAGAAGAATAGTGGTGTTCTAGACTTTATTTTATAAAATTTGTAATAGGTTTATATGAGAAATATGTAAACTGTCTGTTAATATATAAACTTAGTACAGATCATTTAGAGCTATTTTTCTGCAGTATATGGAATAGTATTAGTTTAATTGTATGATGTAATTACATTTTATTTCTAGGGCTAGGTATGGATGGAGCAATAATCCTTTATCTGTAAAATTTTCCATTCATATAGACTACGATTACTTTTGTACCATGACATTAAGAATCTTAATGGCTAATGTATTCTTTAGGATCCCATCAACATTTTACAAATGACACTAAAAAGTACAACAACAGTACCTATAGTTTATTACCACTTTCTTACTAAATATAACTGAGAGAAACTTCAGAAGTTTCAAAATTCTTGTATAAGATGTACTTGTAATATTCCTTATAGAAATTTTTAATTTTTTTTTAATTTTAATTTTTAAAATTCCACAATATTTTACTAAAAAGATCAACTTTACACAATGTAAATTTAAGAGTGAAAACTTTTACAATCCCAATGCATAGAACTTTAAAATTCCAAGGTTGTTTTAGATATGTAGCACCATTATTGTTGAATTCAGAACTTAATAATTTGAATTTTGTTAAATATTAGGCAAGTTCTTATTTCAAGACAATGATTTAATTTAAAATGATGATTTTGTGAACATTTTTTCTGTTATAATGAGGATCAATTGAAAAACGGCTCAGCCGAATTCATTCATTTTGAGACACTAATGTATTTATAGTTACTCAATAAACATTATTTATTTAAATATAGTGATGTTCACATTGTCAAAAAATGTACAGTATGTTAAGCCGACGCATCAGGCGTAATAAAGATGAGACATTTAATTGTATTTGGATGTGAGAGCGATAAAGATAGTAATTGATTTTACCATACCCTTTCGATGGCAAGCATGAGCTATTGCGGTCCACATTCATTTATATTATTCTATTTCTCTCTATTCAATGGCATTGTGTTCCATACCGTTTCCTGGAGCCAGGATGGAAAAGTTAAATTACTGTATGTTAGAAAATAATTCTACAGAATGTAATTAAGTTGTTAGATATTTCAGAAAACATTGTTTATATTGCAAAAAAATTATAAAATATTCTGCTGGCCAAGATTCACTTTCTAGCGCAACAGCTAATAAAAATTATTGAAAAAATGGGGTAATATAACAGTTTCGGCTGTAAGTACTAGTGTAAAACTGTCGAATTAACTTTAAAAAAATTATTTTTAATCACATAATTAATTACCTGCTAAAAAATGTTCATTTTCAATTAGTTTAAAATAAAAACTTGTTTCGAGAAATCAATAATCATAATTATGAGTATCTACCCTTATTTATAGGAAAATCACATATAAAGATTAATAAAAACCTTAAAGACATTGTTCAAACACCAATGAAAATTAAAAAAACTAAATTTGTATTTTTTGTTCCTTATTAACTTTTATTAAATAGCTTTTTTTTATTTATAATTTATTGGTGCCATTTTCTAATGTAATATAAATGTTTTAAGTTTAATAACATAATGTTATCATAATATATTTATTGTAGTATTTATTACACAAGATGAAAAAGTAAAACCCTTCGCACTTTTGGCAAAATCGAAACTTTGTTACTACTTATTCTCTCACAACCTCCGTCCATGTAAGCGGGTGAATTTACCGCCTTTTCAGATTCGTTTAGTGACCGAAATCGAGAATGTCTATTCCTTGCTGATGAGTCCTAATAAGGACAAAACCGGTCCAAGAATAACGTTATCTATGGTAAGCAAGATCAAAGTTTGAATATTGAAATATGAATTTTTTTAACTTTGTTGTTTTCTTTGAATATAATTCAATGTCTGCTGCGGAATTAGCCAAAGAAGTAGTTGTTTTTCGAAGTGAAACGTTAAAGTTTGGATTTATTTCCCTTTTTTAATAAAATATTTGACTACATGTTTCTTATAATAGTTTTAAATTTACTCTATTCTTTAGTAGGAATATGCCCATAATCTCTTATTTATTTTGATTGATGATTCTTAATGCATGTCATAGTACTTTGGAACGATATTGCAAATATATTTGAATTCCTTAGTTTTGAAGTTTTTAATAAAATACTTTCAAGATCTGAGCAATCAATATTCCCATGTAATAATTACATACAAAATGATTTTAATATGAAAGTTCTGTTTAAAACACGTGATTCCAGATTTATTTACTATAAAATATATGACGGCCTTGGATTGTTGTATTCATTTCATATAAAATGGTATTTTAAATATATTCTGCTTTTATTTAATTTAAAATAAAGTTTCAAAAAAGACTATGATGTTTTTTATTTTTAGAAATCTCTTAAAATCCATAAAAAAGAAAATTAAAATTCTATTACGAATTTTTAAAGTTATTAGTTCTACTGTGTAAGTAAATCCTTAATATTTTCGAATTATGCTTAAATGTGTTAGTCCTATCCTGTACACTTCAATATACAATCAATGCGCAAGTGCGTGGGTCGTTTTTTTTTTAAAGATGGCCGCTTTCAAATCTACGTGCCTGATGAAAATGACATTTCCTATCTCCTTTATCGATGTCTGTGCATTATACCATTTGAGGGAATGGTCCGTTATTCACCGAAATATCGCTTAGGACCACATACTTTGCGTATGGTCTGTTATTAACCGACTACTAACCGCAAGTAACCAGGATTTTTTTGACAGCAGTTCCTGAAAAAAAACTAATTTCTTGGTTACTTTTGGACCACGGCCGATATTTACGTCACTTTTGTAACAGATTGACATTCGACTTAATAGTAACCGTAAAAACAGAGATAAGGGAGATAAAGATAGGAAACGCCCATAAGAAGCCAATGCTTAACAACGACCAGCTTTTGCCGCGTTTGAGAATCCACATCGGATGCATTTTTTACATCTCTAGCGTTTTTTTATCCACATCTGACACATCTATCCCATTACATTTACTTATACTGAATCACGTGATCAAAGATTTACTACATCTCAGATGCATCCGATGTGGATTCTCAAACGCGGCATTTGATTTTCTTTTACTATACGGAGAATGGTCGCACTGCGCAGCTTTCTGAGTTCCTTTTAAAAGGAGATAGGAAACTCCGCCATTTTGAACCCTTATTACGTGTTGCCTACATCTTGGCGCAATATTTTTAATAGGTGCGTTTTAATCATCCGCTTCTGCTTCGGAATTATCGGTCTTCTTGTTTTAATCTGACAGGTTAAAACGACTAAACCGACAATTCCGGAAGTAGAAGCGGATGATTAAAACGCACCTGATATTTTGCTT